TGTGCTATGCAAATATAGCTTCAGGGCAGATCTTATCAGCTACCCCAATCTGACTCTTTGTCCTTCATATAAATATATAAATTTTACATACATATACGTATATATATACATGCATGTGTGTGTGTGTGTGTCCTGAAGCTTCCACTCCCCAGAACAGATTCTATCAGCCATCAGTAATTTTTAAGACGATAGATGTAAAATTGCCTTGGAAATAAAGGAATTGCATGAATTTGAGAGTTTGGAAGTTCCAAACAACCTCATCCTACAGTTTTTAAGGCAGCAAAGCCATTTTGTTTCTTATAGACATATCTCCTCGTGGCCACATCTTAAGAGGTGCTCAGACAATTTGAACACCTCAAGTGGCATTTTTAATGGTGCTGAGGATCAACAACTGACTAGTTTATAATTTGATGTCACTGACTGAGCACACAGTTAAGTCAGTGGGAAAAGCTGCAGTCATGGTTCTTGACGAGTTCAGAGAAAAATATTTTAGTGAGTGAGAACATTCTTTGGCTTTAAAAATAGGCTTGTGCATTTGTTTATGCACTCTGAGCAGCCCTTCCTTGCCCTGGTGGTTACCACAGCATCTCGCTTCATGTTTACGGTGTGGCGGATGGTAAGGGCTCTTCCCTCGCGTTTGTAGGCGTGTGCAGGGATACGTTCCCTGGCACCACAGCAGGTAGGATTGCTGGCTCCTGGGCAATGGAGTGTAGGGTTTGAGCCACACTCACCCCCTTGTGTTTCATTCTGACCAGATGTTAGGCACTAGGTAGTTCTCAAGTGTTAGCCCATTGTCCAACTTGCCAGTTTGGCAGTAAGTTTTCATTCTAATAAAAGAAGTTACCCAGATGGAGATTCCAGATGTGCCTAAGCTGCTTTTATTAGGACAATGGAAAGATCCAACCTTGTCTTCTAAATACAATCAGGAGTAGTGTGGCTTTGCCTTTGTAATTTTACAAAGAGTTGTATTACGTAACTGGAAAATTGTGTCCCCGAGCATAGAGAGAATTTGTTAACACAGAATGCAGCTTGGAAAATGCTGATGTAAAGCTTCAATCCAAGAGAGAAACCTTTTAAGTTGCTGAAATGTAGTGGAGAGGAAGAAGGAAATTGCTGTTTTACATGATTGACCAAAATTCACTATAATTATATCGACTTGAAACAGATTCCTTAGAAGAACTGATAACTCTGTGATCAGAATAAGTCATGTGTAGTGGAACTAAATACTGCATGTACTTTCTCTGCAAAGTGAAGACACGCTGGATGTGAGATGCACCATAGAAACTTACTTGCCTTACCCTCTCTTGGGACCTCCAGCCACTTGAGCAGAATAAGGAATGGTGGGGAGGCTTTGCCGTGCTTGCCTGTCCTTCTGCATCCCTATACGAAACAGCTTGTGGACTCTCCTCATGTAATGTTATTTTGATGTTGCCGCTCCTGTTTGTAATTAACCCAGCGTCACTCATCAGACAGTGAGCTTGTAAATGGAACGCTCCTCAAGAATTCCACTGACTGTCCTTGTTGCCTGTTCTAAAGTGTGTGGGTAAAGCTGAATCACAGATATTTAGCGCAAAGGTATCCTTCCCGTTTTCCCTCTTCCCTCCAATATCTCTGGATAGCACTATTTTCTGTCAGCCACAGTCCACCCACAGATAGGAGATCATCTCCAGTAAGAGTGATACTGGTGCTAATTCAGTGCCAGTAAAACTCACTGGCTGCCATCTGATACTCCGAAGCACTATTCCTAAACATTATTACTTGCATATGGTCATCATCTATGTGCACATCTCCTTCACCTAACTATAAGCTTCTAAAGAGCAGGATTATGTCTTATTTCTTTGTAATCCTCCAAATAGTGGAGTACCCAATGCACAGTAAGTGTGCAAGGCCTCTTATTAACTGAATGAATAGCCCATTAGGAGTATTATCTGTTGAATTCTGAAAAAGGAAAGAAATTGCAACTAGTGAGTAAAGTGCCTAGACTTCCAATAGCCAGGTTAGATAACTAGGTAATTATGAAATAGCTGTACTCTGTACTATGTTTGCATAAGCTGACAGGAGAGCCGCCTTGCTGTTACGCGAGCATGCGAATGTTATAGACAAAGCTGATGTCTCTAACCCCAGCAGTAAACGAGGGGCTAAGGTCAGTTTTCTAGGCATTGGGATTTTCTAGGCATTCAGCTGAGGAGCAGAAAAAAGTCAAATGCTGTATAGTAGGCTTTGACTTTATCACATAAATACTGTCCTCTAACGCGCTCAGGGCTGCACCCACCCTGAGCAGCTGAAGGCTGCCGGCAGAGTGCTGGGACATCTATCTGTCCTGAGAGAAACGTGGAACAGGTTGCTGCGTTGGGGATCTTTCCCCTCGCTTCTCTTGAAACAGCAGCTTTCCCTCATGGCCTTTATTTCTCTCATTTCCCCACCTGGAATGCTTCCTTCTGGCTGATTCTTTTTGCCCCTCTGAATCCTACGAGGACCAGCTAAATCCCTTCTCTTTCCTGAAGTCCTTCCTTACCTGTGAAAGCAGTAATTGCTCCCTGCGATGAACACCTGGGCAACTTGGTGCTGACGCTACTTTACATTTTGGATATTTTTTCTTGTATAGTTAATTATTTTTTCTCATTTGTTTATTTGTTATGCTTCTTGAGAATGGAGATGATGCCCTGAGTTTTTGTAAAACCTGTAGCATCTTATTTCTTCCCACAAATATTTTTAAAATACTTGGTAATTTGGGGGAAAACATCTAGAAAGGAATTTGATGGAGGTAAATGAACTTAATGAAAATTATTACAGCTATTATGAAAAAAATCTATGAGCATGTAATACTTTTATAATAGGTAAAACTCTTTTAAATAATTTTCTTAAAAATTTTCTTAAAAGAACCATTGAAGAGTCTTGGATTTCCTAACTAGACATAAGAAAATGTTTCATACTCAGCAATGGATATAGGTTACGAATATGCAAATACAGAGGTGGAGATTCTTTTTTGAACTAGAATCAAAGTCATATTTTGGAAATCGCTCTCTATGTTCCAGAATTATTTTTTGTATAAATCTCCGTGTAGTTCTCCCATTGTATGATTTTGTGTTTAGTGTTGATTCATTTGTATCCAGAGTACCAAGTTATTTCATCTACATGCAGTAGTCCAGAAATACCAAACATGGCCCATCTCCCTGACCATCAAATCATGTACAAAACTGCTGTCTGAGTCTCTGGGCCAGTGGTTAGACGCGAAACAAGTGCATCTCTGGATCCAGAACAGTTTAAATCAGCTAGCTATACTGGTCCATGACCTTCTGATAGGTTCCACGCAATTTAAATTTAAGAGATATACTTCTCATGATCATGCTAATTGAGGTGTAAGTTTGACAAGCAAAACCATTATGAAGATGAATATTTATGACATTTTAAACTTGGGCATTAGTAGGTCTAGAGCTGTGGAATATTACTTACTGGGTTGAGGAGGATCAAGAGGGGATCATGTTGAATGTATCATAAAAAAAAATGATTTAAAGAGAAAACGGACTATCCAACAAGCTCACTCCTATCATTACATTTCGGTTGCTTTCGTTCATATTCTGGCGTTATTATCTTCACCCAGACTATTGATTGCCTTCATGATTGTTCTGCCCTCCATACTCCCATTCTGATCCACCAGTCAGGCAATAAATATCTTCTTAGGGTTTTGTACATGCCAGGCGCTCTGCTGGAAGACTCAGCTCCCTAATCTCAGAACGGATACTCGCCTGCACAGTCACACTCAGCAACTTTCCTCTTTACAAAACCAAATGCAATCCAGCCTCGCTTGCCAGTCTTATCATATACTCATTCTGTTCATCTGCCCAACTGCTTCAGTCAAAGTAAAATATTCACCCTTTTCTGTGATATATGTGTCAGTTTTCAGTATAATTTCCTAGGGCCTAGAACTACAAAATATATCATTTTTAGAGGTAGAAAATTGTGTTCATGTCGTAAATCCAACAATCTGAGAAAAGCATCTTAACGTAAACAACATTAGAGGAGATTTTGAAAAGTTGTTTTAAAAAATGTTTGATAAAATTGTGGGGGGAAGTGCAGAAGAGAGAAGGGCCTTAACTCAGAATTGGGACAAGGAAGTTAAACACAAGGAATAGGCAGACTAAAGAAACCAGAAAATGGAGAACATGGAGGAAATGAGAGTGATGGTCATAAATCTCTAGAAACAAACCCCAGGGCAAAATACAAAATAAAAATTTCAGACCCTCGTACTGGAAACTCCCACATTTTGAACGTTAGAGTTCTGAGATGCATGATCCTACCCAAAAAGAAGAAAAAAAAGGAATTTAGTTCTCCAAAATGGGACACATTTTTATTGAGAATCAACTATATGCAAAGCACTGTGCTTCTTTGAAGATCCAGGTAGTCTGAACGACCCCCAGTGACCGACTCTGCTCCATCATGAAGCAACGATGGCAAACTGTACAGCAATACAGCCCCACCTCTTGCACTAAGCACAGGCTCCTGTCTGCCAGAATGAATTCCAAATTCACAATCAGGATAAAAGTTAGGCCATATTAGCTGCTCTGTATTTTTAACCTTTGTATCAAATTACCATCAAGGAACACTAATAAAGATAAGACATAGAACTACATATTTGTTTCATATGCATCTTCAGATTTCTGAATTATACATTAAAACAATCTATGACATCTGTGTATGCTTTTCACAAAAGAAAAAAGCATAAATGCCTCAGGGAGCATCAGCCTGGCTAAGAAACAGATGAAAAAAACCTCTTTCTACAGTTTCTATTAAAGTACAGAGAAATATCATATAATTTTAAAGGCTACAAAAATAAGGTAAAGATTATATAAGGCAAATAAATCAATAAAATCTATAGCAAGTACAAGAATATTTTAGATTAATCTGAAAAAGCTGAATTTCCTAAGACCTTGAAAAATGAGACAAGCCATTTGGCAAAATCCTTAACTTGGATTTTTTTGTTTGTTTGATTTTGTTTCTAGGTTCCAGATTCAGAGATGTGCAACTGATCCAAACAGTTATAAAAGCTTAGGGGACAGCTTTCGAGTGATTTTCCGAACCGAGGGGTATGTATGGTTCTTTGTATATAGATTCTATGTTGATATAGACATTTTAAGGTATTTCTACACGTTTTCTCATTTTGAATGGCTTATTTTCCAATTCTTATTAGGGAAAAAATACTTAAAAGGGTGCCTTCCCACTTTTTCGTATTTCTTCCGATAATATGATTAAAAACTAAATATGTATACAATGAAAACTACCACAAAAAGGATATTAATCATCAGTTTAATGACTAGAGGACAATTTATAATTTGTGCCATTAAGACTTTTTAAAGTTATCATAACTGGGACTATCTAAATATAGTAGTTCTTTATTTTGATACTTTTATAATATCCAAATGTGTTCTTTGTTTGCATAGTGGTTTATGAATATTCAGTCAAAACAGATCTATGTCAAAAATTGAAGTGTCAAATTCATTATCCTATCTGTTAGATGATTGGATGAATGGAATATTTTGGTTACGTAGCTAAAATTGTCTTTGATGTATAGATTCAATTAGACTCTATCCAGCATAATTTTCCAAAGGATATTACATTTGCTTTTGGAAGTTGTTTTCCTAAGAGAATTTGTTGAAAATAATAATTATTCAAAAACGATAACAATAATAATAGTAACTAGTATATATTTAGTCTCCACTATGTACTAGGAAATCTCATAACTGTAATGTAGGTTCTATTAGGATCTATTCCAATTGGATAGATGAAGAAACCAAGACCCAGAGAAATTAGTAACTGTTACATATCTGATAAATAGTGGAGCTGGGACTCAAATCCAGTCTGCTTGACCCAAAGTCCATGCTCCTAACCTCTGTAGTTCACTACCTCTGTTGGCACATTAAACTGTGGCTACTATTCTGCTAATTGTTTATTTCACTTAAAATATATCATTGATAACTTTCCATGCCAGTATATTCTTTTTAACAACAGCATAGTAGTTTTTTTTTCCTCCATGCTGCAATTTATTACATTAATCCTTTTGATGGACCGTTAGGTCCTCCAGATTTTTATGATTATAAACAACAGAGCAATAAATATTCTTATACTATTTTTGCACATTTGTGTGTTTATGTATATATTTCTATAAAATAAGTTGCTAGCTTTGGACTTACAGGATCAAATGATATGCACATTTTAAGTCATAGATGTTGCCAAATTATCTTCCAAAAAATGTGTACCAGTTTTATGCCCTTAGTATTTAAGAGTTCTCATTTCTCCACACCCTCTCAAACACTGGACATTACCAAGCATTATTTGGTATATCTGTCACTCATGTGCATCTCCTGTTAATAATCTCATAGGTGAAAAATAAAACTGTCTTAATAGTATTCCTTTGATTGTAACTGGGATTGAGCATGCTTTTATATCATTAGGTATCATTTCTTTTATGAATTCCTTATTTGTGTCCTTTGTCCATTTCTCTTTGGTTAGATTTTTTTATTGATTTGTAGGAGCTCAGTATATATTATAGGTATTAATTCTTTGACTATTACACAGATTGCAAATATTTTTTACCAACTTGTCATTTGTCTTACAACTTTTAGAAGTTTGTGATTTTTGAAGATTGTGATTTTGTGATTATATCTATCTTTTCCCTTGTGATAGCTGACCTCGATGTCACATTAAAAAAGTACATCCTCTACTCCAAGACTATAAACATTTTCTTCTAGTACTTTTTACATTTAAATCTTTAATCCATCTGAGAATTTTTTTAATATGCAATGTCGTATATAGAATTAAATTTTATTTTCAGATGGTTAGTCAATTGTCCAAACACCACTTGTTGAAAAATCCATCCTTTACTCACTAATTGGAAATGCTAGCTTTTGCATATATTAAACTTCCACATATACATCATTTAAATTTTCTGTTCTATTTCTCCATTTACTATTCTGTTTAATTAATGTCTCTATGCCAGTATCATAACTGTTTTAATTCTTAACTGTTTAATATCTGTTTATATAACTGTTTAATATCTTTAGAGTATTTTGGGAATATGTAAAAATATGCCCTGCAGTATAAAGTCTAAACTCTTCATCATGATATACAGAGCCCTTTCCAGCATGGCCCTCTCTTCTTCTCCAGGCTCATTCCCCATACACACACCTGCTCTAGGAATAGCAAATGTTTGCAGTCCGCCGGTCTCGCATACTCTCATGGCTTTGCATGCTAGTCCCTATTCGTGGAGAAACCAACCTCCTAATCCACCTAAGAAACTACCCCTCTTCATTCAAGAGTGCCCTCAAGTTTCCCCCTCCCTGACCATCTTTTCTCTACCACAGGCTTTCTTTACCAGTCGTTCTTTCTTTATATACATGTGCTATATAAAATATAGCATGCACCATCCTGCGTTACTGTGCTCGTTTTTCTGTCTCCTCTCTCCCACTCCAAAAATATATTTTCCTAAGGGCCATGTCACATTTAGCTCTGTATTCCTGATGCCTGGGTTTGGCACTGAGTAGAGATACTCGGTAAATGCACACTGAGCGAATGAGTGCAAGTCATCGTACCAACATCATAATGATGCAAAATGAAATAGATGATAATTCCTGCTGTAGACCACCCCCTCTAAAGTTTTAATGATAATTATGATGCCTGATTAAATATTTTGAGGTCACCTAGTGACATAGGATCAGCAAATTCTTCCTATTACTCTGGTGATGTGGTACCTAAGTGCCATACATTGATAATATACCTGCATTTATGACACCTGGGATCAAAATCATGTTCATTTTACCCAAAATTTATATAAAGTTAAAGACATCATAGTGTATTATATAGTCAACAAAAGTGTCTTTTTCCAGTAAAACAGTAGTGTCAGCATTGCCAAGTTCTGTAAGCTGTAACAGATACCTCTGAATTGGATGTGGGAGTTCCTTAGCCAGGCTCTTCATTTCATGTGTGTTTCAGGAATAATTTGATGTTTCTGCTTTGATATCAAGTAATATAACAAACATACAGTATGTGTGGTCCTTGCGTAGTAAAACTGGCCTTTTGCTAGACTTTATGTATAATTGCTTCTAGAGCAAATTGACATTCTTTCTGTAATGCCGTTAGATCTGGACATGTTGTTAGCCAAAAGCCAGAGAAGTCTAGTCTTAGAGATGGAAATATTTGTAAAAATACAAAAGAAAAAGCTGCCTGTTACTTTTGATACAGAGCAAGAGCATTTCATAGCCTTAGGTTAAAAAAAAAAGAAAAAGAAACCTTTTAACACATGCTGTGTTGAATTTTTTTTTTTCCTAGTCAAAGCAGTTCCTTTTGATTCTCTTATTTAGCTTTTAGGATACACTCTGCTTTCAAAAATGTTTTTCTCATTCAGGGGCATGGAGGCCAGTTTTGTCTGTGTCCTCTGGGAAGATAGCACAAGTCAATTTGACTATTAGCATAATTAGAAGAATTCATCTCTCCTGGTTTTTCCCATCTCCTCCAAGTTAAAAGTTTTGAAAGCTGGTCCTTTTCTGTTGTTAAAACATTCAAGTCTGTTAATACACTTAGAATCTGCATAGATCTCCCATTTTCCCGCTGTAAGAAAGGGAAGTGGTACTCGTCATCATTCTTAAGAGAGACGATTCCCCACCTCTCTGCCCAGAATTCACAAGTTTCCAAGACACAATAGCTCAATTACAGGAGTCCAAATCCCTTTACTGCTTCTAAGATTCTTTTTCTTCTTAAAAGCATAGATACACTGTACTTTTATTAAAGATAGTTTTTCAACCCAGCTTTACAGAAGTGAAATTAATTTAAGTTAAAAAAAAAAGGGCCTTCCAAATTCTGAGTAAGGATTTCTATTATATGGAGTCATCCTATTTAGTTAGCTTTTACCAGAGAAGCCATCACTGTGTTCTCTAATGGAGAAGAGAGAACTCAGAGGGAAGGAATTTGTCAGTGTTGAGAGTCCCTCCATCGTTTTTCCAGTACACTATTTCACCTTTCACTAAACACCAAATTTTGTTATTTATTGAATGAAAAGAAGACAATGTGGAAGTAGTGGCTATAAACCTTTAATTTTAAAATAGCTGTTCTAAACACCTTTGGTGTTCCCACGCTCAAATCACATAGCAATTGAAAGCTGCTTTTATCTCCTCCTTCAAGTAAAGTATGAAAGCTCTGAGAGACCAGTATACGTTCAGCCAACCAAATCTTGTCGATTCTGAGGCAGCACCACAAACCCTCTGACAACTCAAGACTCTTCATCCAGCCCTTGCCCCATCCCTTGTTGACAACTTTGTATCTCTGATAAGTTCATGGTTTTCCATCAGTCTACTCTCATCCTGCGTGTTCTTTAGTTTTCTTATGGGAAAAATTCTTGGGCTTGGTTTGCCCAAGGCAAATAACTAGGCAACAGCTAGGTCAGATTAAACTTAGTTTCAAATGAGAAACATGTTGATTGCTGGTGCCTTCAGAAATATGGTATTCTTCAGAAAGTATTACTGTAGAAAATATGTGGTTGCATTTGGGGGGCGTTTGAACTGTGTTTTGTTTCGCGATTTGTTTTCTGTAACCACTGATGCTGCCCCAAGTATCATCTTACAATCAGACCACTTGGTGATTATAATATTTTCTAGTTAAATGACATTTAAGGCCTCGTTTTATGAGCTCCAGTGTAATTGGCTAATTTGGTAAACTCCAGATGTGTGAGATAATGTGCCACTCGTTTAAGTGCCTTTCAGACGGCATAAATGGCACAGCCCCAGGGGTATAATCACTCCCTCTTGTTTTCATTAAGAAGGGGAATGAGTGGCTTGACACAGACAAAGGAAGTGGGGCGTCTACAACTGAAAATCAACAACAACCTGGTAAGATTTGGACATTTTCTTTTTACAGGTGAACTTGCTCCAAGATCTTTGGCTTAATTTGGTGTCTTAGTGGGCCTACTTTTTAAAAAATAGTTTCCATAACCAAACATGAAAAGACCTCTGAAAATAGAAAGACCTGCCCCTATAGAGAACTCCCTGAGTAAAGTAGTCTCTAGAAACCGTCCCTCGCTCTCTTGTGGAAGTGAGGG